TTTACTTGATCGTTCTCCACCACCTGAACGACCACCGGCTTTTTTCGATTCGGGACATTCAAATGATTTGTGACCATCTTTGCCACAATTGAAACAACTACCGCCGCCTACAAAAAAAGAACATTACATTTAATTTTTTGATATATAAAATTAAAATAATATACCGGATCTGTTTCCACCATTTCGTTGAGATTGTGTACCATTAGATTCAGGACATTCCCAAGATTTATGACCTTCTTTTTGGCCTAAAATAAACTTTTTCTTTTACATCAATCTGTATACAATATAAACAAAAACTTACAATTGAAACATGCATCTATAAAATCAAACAAAAGAATGATAAAATATTGTAAAAAAATAAAAGTTTCAACTATTCTTACTTGATCTTCCTGAATTTCGATTACCACCACCACCACTACCACCACGTGAGGATTTATTGTAACCACCTGAAGAACTTTTATAATCATTCATTGATGCTTCATCAAGTTCAGGTAATTCTGTAATAGGTCCCATTTGTATTCTTGCACTATCTTTCCAGTAACCTTGTAATTGTGCATCAAGTTCACTTGGTAAATCGAATACGGCACTCTAATTAGAACGACTTATTTAGTAATAAAATAGTTTGATATGTTTATACATACTGTGAAATCTTTCGTAAATGCAATTTGTGCAACAGTACCTTTAGCATCAAAATCATCACCAAAACATTTACGTAACATTGTAAATACAAATCCGACACTTTTTATTTCATCACATGTCGTTAATTGATATGTGGTATAATTCTAAAAATATGCATAAAATTTTTAATAAAATTTAATTAAAGAAAACTCTGTATTTACTTCTTGTTTGCTTAAAAGTGATCGAGAAGTTTCATCTGCTTTTTCGTATTCATTATTTAATGAAGTATCAGCAGATTCTTCAAAACCCTAATTCATTAAGCAAAAAAAAAAAAAAGATTTATTAAACAAAAAGATTTTTCCATAAAAGTTTTACTTCATCATCAGCTGATGTTTCTTCTGTTTTTCTTTCGGCCAAATTAATTGTAACAAAATCTTTTGTTAAATATTTTTTAGTTAATTTTCGAACTGAATCAGGCATGGTTGCAGAAAAAACAATCAATTGTGCTTTTGTTTCTTGATCTATTTTAAAGTATAATTAATAAAAATTACAATTTACTTTGATGATTACCTGATGTAAAAATATGTTTAAGAATTGTTTTTATGTGATCAAGTACAGTTGAATCAAGCATACGATCAATTTCATCAAGAACAACATGTTTGATTTGAGATAAATCAACTTTTTCATTATCAATAAATTCTTGTAATCGATCAGGTGTTGCAACAAGAATATCACAACCATTTGAAATCGCTGTTTCTTGATCATCTGATTTTTTCTTGCTACTATAAATTGTTGCAATTGATAGATCATTTACAATTGATTGAAAATCATCGGAGATTTGTTTACCTATGAAATAATAATTTTTTAGTATTTATCTTACAGATAATGCATTTTGTTCTTCTATGTTAAAATTTAGATCATGCAAAAAATTATGGTGGAAGTATTTTAATTCCTTATAAAAAGCTTGAAAATTGATGCGAACTGTTGGTTATGATATGTGAGTATGGAGGTACTGGTTCGAATCTGCATCCAGATCCACAAAAACGTGCATTCGCAATTTCCTATGCGTAACAGTAATATTAAATCATATTTTGTCTTTCATGTGTCTCGTCTTCTTCGTGTTCTGTTTATTCTTTTTTTTTCTTGCCTTAAGTTTTGATTTAACTAATTCTTTAGATTTGACATCATGTAATTTTTGTTTATTCGAGTTAATCGCACGACAGCTGAACGATTAAAACGTTTTCAAATCACTGTCCTTACACTGTAAACAGAGTCATGAATTTTTTTGAATAAAGAATAGTATAGAAAACGTCCAACAAATGGATTTAATGAATTTATTTGTATATGTCTTTTTTATTCGACCAACATGACTTTTTCTAAATCCTATTATGTATAGATGACTAGTCATTAGAGAAGATCAGAAAAAAGAAAAAGATACACATTTAATCTTTTCATTCGGAAATAAAATACCTCCACCATTACTATGTGTTGTCCCGAAGTATATTAACACTTACTTATATCTCGTGTTGGTGCTAAAACAAGAGCACGTGGTGCTCGATCAGCTCCTAATTCAACGGATTTATCAGCTTGAAGTAATTCAACAATAGGAATTGCAAAAGCCAATGTTTTGCCAGTTCCATTAGATGCTTGAATTAAACAATCTTTTTGTTCATGAATGGATGTATAAGTGACCGTTTGAACTGGATAAAGAAACTCAACATTACGAGCTAAAATAAAATTATTATTATACTTCCGTTTTTACGAAAAAATGTTGTAAAAGAAAACAGAAAAAAACCGGATTTACCTTTAAGTTTCTTAATAGTCTTTTTTGAAATATTAAAATTTTTAAAATTTCCTTTTTCTTTATCTTTTTCGGTTAATTGAATATTTGTTGTCTCGTTTAATCCATTATCTTCTTGAGAATTTGTTTGATCTTGTTCAAATTCTTATATTCAATGAAGACAAAAAACATGATCATAAATTATTTTATAAATAAATAAAATCTACCTTCAACAGCACTTTGATTTTGTTTTTTATGTTTCATTTTTTTTTATATGAAAAAAAATCTTGACAATGGAAATTTAACGAGATCTAAAATGATAAAATCAATATTTGTTGTTTTTTTTCGTTTTTAATTTGACATGTATATTTTATTTTACTATACAAGTTTATAAGAGTAAAGATAATGTTAAAAATAAAATATGAAAAATATATATTGAAGTTTTAACTATAAGTTTTTTCTAATAAATTCAAATATTCGATCTTCCATATAAACTCTTTCCTCAAGTTTTCTTGGCATATGACGTTCATCAGGAAAAAGTATAAGTTCATAAGGTTTATTTGCTCGTATAAGTGCATTTATAAGACGAGCTGAATGACGAAAATGAACATTTTCATCAATTAAACCATGTATTATCATTAAATGACCAGTTAAATTATTTATATGGTGCATTACACTTGATACAACATATCCAAGAGGATTGTCTTCTGGTCTACCCATATATCTTTCTGTATAATGAGTATCATATCTAAAAAGGAAAAAAAAAAGTTTCAAATATACATATTATTATAAAAATTATATATACCCATCCCAATGTGTAACTGGTGCACCAGCTACTCCTAATTTAAAAACTTCACTTTGACGAACTAATGCCATAGCAGACATATAACCACCATAAGACCAACCATACATACCAACACGTGCTTTATCTGTAAGACCTTGTTTGATAAGATAATTTATACCATCAACTTGATCTTCAAGTTCCAAATGTCCCATATCATATCTAATAACACTTTCAAAAGCTAAACCTCGGTTTGAACTACCACGATTATCTAAACGTAATACAACATAACCAGATTCAACTAAACGTTGACAACGCATATCTGCACGAAGCGACCAAGAGTTTACTACACTATAAGAGAGGAAAAGAAAAACCAGTAAATTTAAAAAGTAACTTTAATCTAATTCCATCTATAGAACTTACCGTTGAAGATGTGGTCCACCATAAACTGATACAAGTGTTGGATATGGTCTTTGATATTTTCTTTGTTCATCCTCTGGTTTATAAATAGCACAATAAAGTGTATCATTATTTCTATTTTGTATTTTTACTAATTGAGGTTTAACAAGATGAAACTGTTCTATGACTTGTGATTGTCCTTGTTGTAAATGATCTAAAATTTTAATAATTTTTTTCTTTTTTACATCTAACATTCTTATAATTGGATATTGATCTATGGAATTCCATTGTGTTATACAACAGTCATATGTTCGATTAAAACAATGCACAACATGACAACCAGGTTCTTGTGTAATACGATCGATTTTTGGTATATCATCATTATAATTAACACTATATAAGTGTACTTCTAATGGTGTTTCACGATTCGCAAGAAAATAAATAAGTGAATTTTCTTCATCAATATCAATAATACGTTGTACAACCCATTCACCATTTGTTAATGATTTAATTAATTTTCCTGTATTTAAATCATATAATTCTAAATGCATAAAACCAGTTCGTTCATTAGCCCATATAAATTGTGTTGGCATTTTTTTTAATGTATAAAATAAATCATGTAAATTAATCCATGATTGACTTGTTTCTTCAATTAATAATTTTAATTGTTTTTTATTTAAAAAATCATATTGATATAATTGTAATTTTGTTTGTTGACGGTTTTCAATTTGTAAAGCAAGACTATTATCAGGAAAAAAATTAATACGTGCTATATAATAATCATGAAATGAACTTAAGTCAATCCAATGAATATTAGGTGTTGTTTTAGTATTATTTGCTAGATCAATAATACCAACAGTAACTTTTACATTGGCTTTACCAGCGAATGGATATCGATGTTCTTCACTCTAAAAAATTGATAATAATAAAAAAAAAAAAAATTTTTTTTTCCGTGAAGTTTTATTTTACTTGATCAGGATTATCAGAACCTGAATGTGAAATACGAAATATAGGTACATTTGATTCATCAAATTGAGTGAATGCAATATAACGTGAATCATCTGACCACCAAAAACCTTTACTACGATTCATTTCTTCTTGAGCAATAAATTCTGCAAGACCATTTGTTTTATTTGGTTGACCACGTGCATCAAATGTCAATTGACGTGGTTGTGGAGACGTTTCAATTGTTGATACGCAATAAAGTTCACAATCTTGAACATATCCAACCAATGAACCGTCAGGTGAAAGTCTTGGATCAATAATTGCTGGTTGATTAGATCCATTAACCAAAAGACGAAGTTCTTTATCATCATGAATATATAGATCACTACCAATAGGTATAAGCATTAATGGTCGAGATTTATTTTTAGCCCATTGATAACTAGTTATGCCAGTGATTAATTGACGTTGACGCTTAAGTAAAAGAAATAATTTGTAACAATGTTTAAAAAAAAAAAATTATAAAAATGTATCAAGCGAAAAGAAATTTATCATTAAGTTTTGTCTATTTATCAATATTGAAAACACAATTTTTCACGTCTTCAATGAAAGTGTTATAATAGAAATGAGATTTTTGAAAAAAATAATTACAAAAACAAATTTTTATTAAAAATTTATACAAAAACTAATTAATCTCCAATGTATCATATAGTACAACTTGTTAATCACTGTAGACTCATATTTAAGACTATATGATGTAAAACAGTATAGATGCATTTATTTTTATATTCTATCCTTGTCGGATTCACACTACTATTTCTAGAGGACCATCTCGATAAATCATTTCTACTGATTGATTAAATCAAAATTTGAATTATTTATCTCCTTATTTTTCTTCTCTATATGATCTCATAACTGTCGTTTCCCGACCGATTAATAGCTTTTGCATTAGAACTATGTGCATCATGCTGTCTGTAACAAGCAATGAATCCATGGAAATAGTTCGAGCCATCCAAGAAAACTGATTTTCAACTAAAAAGCTTACATAGAGACAGTTTATAACGCGAATGGTTTATAGCGAAAGTTTTAGAACTTTTGATTCACTCGTGATCTGCAATAATAACATCGAATCTGTCGACATTTACGAATAATGTAAAAAAAAAACATGTTTTTCTCAATAACCATATCTTAAGATAGGAACAACGATAAGATCTGAAACTTACACCATAAACTATTCTCGTTAAGGTCTAGCTCAGTACAAAAATTCAAGTCAAAATCCAAAAATCAGTTATCTTGGTGTTCTTGAGCAGCAACTCAGCATTGTACTAACCAATACTATCACAATAGAATACGTCCATAACAATAAGCTTAGGACTCCAACGCTTGTCAGGGTATTCATCACTCGTTAGAATCTCTATATGATATATATATATATATAGTACTGACTCAAAGTCGATTAATCATTTAGGAAATTTCTGTCGTCAGTACTTTTTCTTTTATAGTTAAAATTTCAAAAATAAAAAACACACTTCACGCCGTAATTTTTCTTCCATTGAAAGGTTTTCTTCTGTTTTCCCATGATCTATATCAGGTTCAGCATAAACATATTCTTTTTCTGTCTGAATATTATATGCATAAAGTTGTCTTGTTAATGTTTGATTTGGTGAACGAAGATAAGTTAAAAGAGTATCATCGGGACTAAATTTTATTGATTCAGCTAAATTAAAACCAGGTTGTGGTAGTGATGCCACATCTTTGCTTGTTATTGGACGATAGGGCATCTACAAGGTATAATTATATTTCATTCAATACATATACATATATATATATATATTCATTCTTGCACAACAACATCAAAAATATTTCAGATCAATTTTGATTGCAAGAGAAATTGACAACAAAATGCACAATTTGACTTAGCAGTAATATACAAATATAGTACGATACACAAAAAAGCACGAAAACAATATTTAACAAACTAAATAAATATGCATGAAAATATATAATTATATCGAGTTTAATGCCGCCAGTTTCTGTTTAAGTATGTTTCTTTTGTTGTAATTGATTCTGTGATTGTTCATATGATGGTGGCATTTGATAATTCTATTTTTAATTAAATTAATGCATTAATTTATTAAATGAAAAAACAACCAACCTGTTTTTCATTCGTTTGTCCATCACAACCATTATTTTGGTAGGCCGTTTGAGATTGATATTGCATTGATGATTGGTATCCATCTGTCATTGAAGGATACATTGTGGGGTTATTTACATTCACTGATGATATATCAGAATATTGCGGAATGAATTCTGCTGCTGGTAAACCTGTTGATTGTCGTTGATAAACTCCTTCATATGGTGCTTGTGCTTGTGAAACATACATAGTTGTTTCTATGATTTAACCAAATAATACTTTATATAAAATATTCTTTTTTTTTCTAAAATTTCACCTGCAAAATGATTATTCATAGTCTGTGCTGCTTGATATGATGGTGGTGGTGGTTCATAAAGATTAGCTGCAGCTATACCATAAGAACTATAATCAACAGAATAAATAAAAAAAAAAAGATTGCAAAAAAAAAACTTACGGTGGACTTCCTTCAGTTCCTTGATGAACTAAAAATATGAAAAAACAAAATTGTATTTTGATTGGTACATATAACAATAATGACTCACAAATCGAATTGACTTCACGTAATGCTGTACTCGCTTCAATGGCACCACCCGATGAATAAGTTAATTGAAATTTGACTTCACCTTGAAATCCACCTGATCAATAAACAAAAGAAAAACAAGATAAATGTCAGTCAAACAAACATATATTCTTATCAATTGATTGATTTAAAGGCAAAATAAATAGTACAACAAAACAATACAATCAATTCGACCATGAGAATGAAATCAATCGTATATTTCGGTTTTTTCGTCTTCATCAATCATATTCAGATTTGTATTTGTGCTAAATCTGAACCAGATTATTATCAATATTTACAACAATTTGGTTATACACCTAAACTTCAAAATCGACTCTTATCAGTATTGGATAAAACAAGTGCTAATGAAGGTATTAAAACATTTCAACGTCTTTATAAATTACCTGTAAGTTATATTATTTAATCGTTTTACATATTAATACGTAATTATTTAGGAAACGGGTAAACTTGATGAACAAACTAAAAAACTTATGCAAAGACCACGATGTGGAAATCCAGATATAGGTATTCTTCATGCTAAAAAACATTCTATTAATGATGGTAGACTTAGATCTTCACCATCAGCTAAAATGAATGATCCTGATAGTTATGTAACATATGAAAAATCTTGGCCGACAAAACATTTAAAATGGTATATTGAAGAATATCCAAAACAACAAAAACAAATAAAATCTAATGAAGATATTCGTCGTATAATAAATCAAGCATTTTCTGATTGGGAAAAACATTCTGGACTTACATTTGAAATGGTTAAAACAAAAGAAGCAGCCAATTTCAAAATAAATTTTTTTTCGAAGGAACATGATGATGGATATCCATTTGATGGTCAAGGTACAACATTAGCACATGCTTTTTATCCAAAAAATGGTGATATACATTTTGATGATGATGAATATTTTACAGATGATTATACAAATAAGGATGAACATTATACATTAAGACTTGTTGCTGCACATGAAATAGGTCATGCACTTGGTTTATCACATTCATTTGAAGAAAATTCTCTTATGTTTCCTGTTTATCAACAATTTGATTCAAATTTTAGTATATCAAATGATGATCAAGAAGGTATTCAAAGTTTATATGGTAAACCAGATGAGAAATCCAGAACAACAACTTCATCATCAACGACATCAACACATGTTTCTGACGGATTACCAATAGATAATTGGTGTTCAGGAAATTTTCAAACAGGTTGTGAAGGTCCTGATGGTGATCTTTATTTATTTAAAGATACCCATGTATGGAGATATCGTGCACGAGCAAAAACTGGATGGGATCCTCAACCAAAATTAATTCGTGAACGTTTTCCACCTTTACAAGATACAACAGTAACAGCTTGTGTTAGATCATCAACTGGTTATGTATATTTATTTCATAAGAATGATATGTGGAAAGTCAGAACACATTGGTCTATTGAGGGACCACATAAAGTACATGGAAAAAATTATCCACAAAGTCCTCGCATTGCTTTATTTCATAATAATTCAATATATTTATTACAAAATGATTTAGTTTATTCTTTAAATGAATTTAATTATAATAGAGAATTAGGTGTACATACTATTACGACAATACTTGATTCATCACCAAAAGAATCAATTCATTCAGGTTTTACATATGATAAACGACATTATATATTTACAAGAAATCATGTTTATGTTTATGATTCAACAGATGGAAAGTTATTAACTGGCTATCCAAAACCGATAACAAATGGTTGGTTTGCATGTGATACCACATTACAAGCACAAAAAGTTAGAAAGCAAACAATAAAAGAATATTCTAGAAATGATGAGCGAAACAATTATTATGATCGTCATCGTCATCATGATCATAATCGTCAATATGGACGAAAACGACCATTTCATCATTATCCTCATGAAGATCATCATCAACGTCAATGGAATGATTAAAAACATGCATTATCGAAATTAAAAGAAGAAAAGAAAAAAAAAGAAACATGAACTTACCATTTGGATGTGAAGCAGCTATACCCGAAATATAATTTGCACCAAATAAAGGTTGTTCAACATGTAAATTTTTGATATACATAAAAGCTACAGCAAATGATTGTAGATTATCTCGTTGATCATCATTAAGAAATATCATTCGATGAGATGTTACAAATACTTTTCCTTTATGTTTTCCACGAAATACTTCACCACATTGTCGACTAGTATCATCAAATGATAATGTTACATTCTTCGAGTGATTTACAATTCTAATGAAAAGAATAAATTAGCATAGTACATTGTAGTGATAGACTTAAAATTTCTGAAAAAATGGAAAGTGGGGCGATCATGGTGGTACAAATTGTTTTGAAGTTTATTAGAGATCGTGTCGGTTCATTTTTTGAGCATTATCTTCTGAGAAAAATCGAAAAATATTTCCAAAAAAAGAGCGATCGCCTCCCAATAGTCTTCCCTTTATATCAATCACTCTTCTATTGATTTACTTACTGTTCACCTTGATAAAGTAACAGACCATTTTGATAATGTGCTTGATTAATTGACATTATTGATATGAAGATGTAAAACTTCGAGATAATCAGTACAAATGTTTTTTTCCTTCGCAATAATAAAAATGAGATTCTACTATTAGAAGTGAATAAATGAACCAATCAAGTTATACTTTCCAGTTCATTTTATACCTTCGAATTTATAAATATGAAAAATTATTTTTAAAAATTTTGAAGATTATGCAAAGTATTTGAGAAAATTAAAATAGAAAAGCTAAAATCTAAATTATTTGTATAGTTTATAGATTAGATGATAGCGTCATCTATTGAACAAACAAAAATCGAATAATAATTTTGAATTAACGCGCTATATTTATTTTTGATACTTGTATTGAAATGTCTGAAAATCGTAGTCGTTCATCACCAAGTAATATAACTAATAAAACATTTGATGATATAACTCCAGAAGAATTAGCTGAATTACGAGAAGCTTTTCGTGTATTTGATCAAAATGGTGATGTAAGAAAACAGAAATCTTTCAATTAGATCTATTCAGTATATACATATATATATATATATTTCAGGGAAGTATAACACTTTCAGGTTATTTTTATTTTATTTTTAAGTTTTCTATATATGAGAATATTGATAATAGAATTACGTATTGTTCTTGATCAAATGGGTTTAGATCCAACTGAAGAAGAACTTCAGGATATGATTCGTGAAGTTGATGAAGATCAAAGTGGTACTATTTCATTTGCAGAATTTGTTGGTACCAAAGAAAAAACCTCAAATAATTTATTGTTCCATAAATTTCAATGTTAAGATATGGTTAAAAAAGCAGTTGATACAAACAAAAGTTCACGTGAAGAATTATTTCGAGCTTTTCAAGTATTCGGTATTAATAAATATTCAGAAGGAAAAGATATTCATGAAATAACTTTATATGAGTAGATCTTGATCAAAATGGATTTATAACAATGGAAGAACTTCGTACAGGTATCAATTAATAAAACAAGACAATATAAGTTTTATTCAAATTATAGATTAATATTAATACTTAGTGACATCAATTACATGACTGTTTTTAATGGAACAAGAGGCGAGAATGGGACTCTACAGAATCTTTGCTGCATCAAAATGAAAAAAAAAATATTTCTCAGCCAATAAAAATATGACATGTGTCGTCATCCAACCATTAACACTCACGACTAAAGTTTATATTAGTCCATCTGTTGAAGAATCCATTGAGACTATTTTCTGTAATACAAATTTTTCTAAATGTATTTGTTTTCGAAAACACCACTTCAACTTACAGGCGAATTTGCCATATCGCATAAATAAATCCTTAGCATAGCTTTTCTTCATTTTAATATTAATCTATTGTTTTAATTAGTATAAGACTGCCATGTTTAGATCTTAATAAGCGTTGATCTACCCAAGATTAACAAAATATCTATAACTTTTCGGAAGCTATTTCAGGCTTATAGCTACAAGTTTTGAAGCGCTATTCTTTGTTAGAATTATGAAGAATGTTTCTCGCATGGGGCTACTAGAAATTTAAGATCGATCACCTGATACTAAGCCTATCACCTCTTAGTCAGCTAAGCATAAATGACTTGACACATTGTTTGAGAAAGTTTGATAGGTTTCCGATTGCATAATATATACTACTGTTTTTCATATTCGAATACATTGACGAAAATAAATGAGTTGTTTGAAAGAAAATATCAATGAACTTAAACTAAACTATCTTCATCGATTATCATGAATCCATATCGAAATGATAGTATAGAGCTGAAAAGCATCTAAAAAATTGCATAGCTTTCCAGACTGCAGTATTATATTAATCAACAGGTGCCAACCTCGTATCTGCACAAGATAACTCTAGCTTGATCCGCACATCTCTAAGACCAGTCCTAGTTATATCCTAATGGTTAAAGATATCAATCTAAAATAGCTTGTGAATCCTGGTTGAATCAGCTCGTTTTTCGAGAACTTTTCAAATAGATCAATTCCTAAAATCGAAAATATCATCAAATTAATGTATTCTTAATCAAAACTAAATAAAGTGGAAAACGATAATACTTGCATCTATAATAATAGCATTATCCTAAAACTAGTAGACTTGTGTTATGAATTTCAAACAGACTGATGTTTTATCATTTTTTGACTTGGAATAAAACGTCAGAGATATGTAAAATAATTGTTCGAATCCCTTTTCTGAGCATGCTTTAATGTTTATTGACACTTATCCGTGACAATTTTACTCTTGTTTTTTTTTAATGATTTCCCATTACATGAAACTATCTTATTATATATCCAATTAAAATCACTTATTGTCGAATATTCTTATTCTAGTTCTTCAAGCAACTGGTGATCGTCCAACAGATGAAGATGCTCTCGAAATGATTGCTGAAGCAGATATTGATGGCGATGGACGAAGTAAAAACAAGTCTCACTCTATCAAAAAAAAAAGAACAATCAATCTTTCAATATTTTCAGTTAATTACGATGAATTTGTACTAATCATGACCAATAATACATCACCGAGAAAATAATCATCATATGTATTTCACGACAAAAAGAAAAAGAAAAAACGAGAACAAAAAAAATGAGATAAATGAATAATAACAAACACAATTTCGAGGAATTAACACACAATTCAATAGAAGAAGAGAAAAATGTGTATCTACAATTGAAAAAAAAAACTGTTCGAAAAAAAAACCAATATAATAAGTTACACTTGTTCCAATCTAATACTTTAATATATAACAAAATAAAACAAAAAATAATTCAACTCTGTCATTCAATTAAAAAAAAAACAAATTCACATATATAACAAAACAAAAAGAAAAAAAAAAGAATGACGAGTATAATATTTTGTTTTTTCTTTTTCTTGCTTAAGATCGACTACCACAACATGTTGATTTTTTTGTTGTTTTATCTAAATTAATGCCAGCTGTACGAAAACGTTCTAAATCTTCATTACATTGCATGTCTCTATCAAAAGTAAAGACATAAAATTGTAGATTTTTTTAAAATTTTCTATTAAATAATAATTGAATACATACCGAGCTAATTCAATAAGTGCTTCATTTGAATTAGTACCATCTTTTGCACTTGTTTCAATAAATAATGCTTGATATTCCTAAAGAAATAGAAAAAAAAAAAGAGTATTTTTGAAATTCTTATTGATATTCATATTAATGAAAACGAACTCTAGCTAATTTTGCTCCATCATCATGTTCAACAACTCTTTTGCCTTCTGCACGCATTTGATCTCTTAAATCAATTTTATTTGCAACAATCATAACTGAAACTTTTTTTGATGTGGATTCTGTTATCGTATCAATCCATTCTCGAACATTTAAAAATGATCGTTCATATGTTGAATCATAAACAAGTATAACACCATCACATCGACGAAAATAAGATTTTGCAATACTTCGAAATCTTTAAATAGGAAAATAATATTCACAATAATAATCAACATTTTTTATTTCTTATTTTTACCTTTCTTGTCCAGCTGTATCCCATAATTGTACAGCAATACGTTTTGAATCTAATTCAAGTTGTTTATTTTGAAAATCAACACCCAATGTAGAATTTATATTTGAAACAAACTTTCCTTTACATAAACGCATTATTAAGGTACTTTTACCAACAGCAGCATCACCACAAAAAACGACTTTATACATACGACTAAATAAAAACAAAACTCTTATGATTGTATATCAACAATGTCTGTGACGTTTGTGGAAGGAAGATTCCAGGGTTCTTCCTCTAAAGAATATTTCATAAGTTTTGGATCTCGACGAAAATTAGTTTATTTGAAAACAAAGAGTTATTCCAACCCAATCAGATCTCTATGAGCTTTGAGTATTTAGGACGATATTTTAAATGACATATAATCCGATGTCATCATCTCTTTTAATAAAGGTGACATAAATAGAAGAAATATGATAATTAGAATGTGAGTACAGATAATAGTCACATCCACGTCCTAGGTGTAACGTATCGTTTTTCTATAATTATGTTATGTTACATACGATGAATTCATAGATTATTAAAACTTCTTAAAAAATACTAATTGATTTTTCGAGATTTCAATTATCATGTTTCTTCTATTAATATTACTATTATTAAAAGAGATAATGCTGTCAGATACTATATCATTTAAAATATCATCCAAAGTACTTGAAACCCATCTAAATAGAGTTATGTAGAAATTATTCTTTGTTTACATATAAATTAACTTTCATTGAGATCCAGAACTTTTGAAATACTCTGTATACTTTAACACTTCCATAAGGTTGTGTTTTACAAAAAAGAGATAACGAAAAACAGTCAAAGAATTTCATTTACTTACTCAAATGGATGATTCGAGTTGGTTTGCTCGTTTTGGATATCATTTACTGTTGATTCACTATGCTTTTTTGTAGATATAGGATT